GTGTTATATACATTTCAATTATTCGGATTATACTTAATTATGCATTTATTGAAAGTGAAACTGTTGATGCATTTCTGTTAATATATCTCCTTTTGGAAAATATTGATATCTTCCAACCATGATTATTTTTAGGATTATGATGATCACTTACTGAATAGCCAAACTCATCAAACTATGGTAAACATTTTTCAGGATAACTGCGGATTCATTTTGAGTGCTAGTCAAGATCAACCTTGGAAGATATTGTTGTTGTGCTAGCTTTCTTTATTTACTTTGTAAGACCTCTCCACTGTAAATTTGTCCTATCAAGAGTTGTATATATGTTTTGGACTGTCACATCTCAAGAATATCTGTATTGTAAATTCTTGGGGTGTGACAATAGGTCATAAACATTGAGTAAACTATTATGTTCGCAACCTTTAAATATCGTTAATTTGTAGTTTAAATAGTAAATGGCGATGTATTTTTAAAAAAAAAATTTCTTGTGAAATGGTAAAGTATTTAAAAATTAGATTGAAATATTAGAGGAGGCCAATATAAAATAAAAAATACAGCTAATATATATTGTAAGTAATTTATCACTTCTTTATCTGTATTTAAACCCTAATCCCAAAGAAAAAAAAAATTTATAATTTAAATAAACTATAATTTAAGGGCTACAACCCAAATTGGGATAGAGGGATGTAGAAATAAATGTGTATATAAGAGTGTAGAAATGGATGTGCATAGGGTGTGTAAACACTTATAAGTGAAGTTTAAACTGAGTAGAAATGGATGTGCACAATAGAAAGGGAGAATAGCGGGAGAATGGATGTGCATACAAGAGAGGGAAAATAGGGGGAGATTGAGGATTTTTTTTAGGCAAGAGACTTAGATATTACCCGTTAAGGGCATAACGGATTTCACGGCTTAATAGATTTCATGTATTTTGGGGAAATCTTGTGCAATTTATTTTCATTTTCTTATAGTTGAAGGGTACCCATAGTATTTTGGGAAAATCTTGTGTAATTTATTTCCATTTTATTAGAGTTAAAGTGTACCCAAACATAGTAAATCTCATATTTTTATGGGAAATCTTGTGTAATTTATTTCCATTTTATTAGAGTTAAAGTGTGCCCAAACATAGTAAATCTCATATTTCCTTGTAATATGTTTCCCTATAATAGATTTTCAGGTTCAAAACGGCCCTAAGTATTGATATTGTTACAATTGATATTGTTACAATATCGGCAAAATTTACAGTAACATTGGCAAAAACAAAAAAACAAAAACTCATAGTTATAGGGTATATACTGGTAAAAAAAAAAAAGGCTCATAGTCACAAGGTGGCAATAGATATCTAACTTGACTTGGGACCCGATGGATCTGGGTACGGGTCCAACTTTAGGACCCGAATACTATTCGGGTATGGGTCTAGGTCCGGGTCAGGTCAGGGTCCAGCCAAACTTGACCCGTACCTGACCTGTCGCCACCCCTATTTAGTAGCAACCCCAACAAATAAGTAAAAATTGCAAAAGATGTAAACAATTCTTAAAAGGGTGAGATTTGTATAAAGCCAAGGCTCTAAACAATCAAAGTATAAAATATATTTTCATCTTTAATTATAAAATTTAAAGCTTCAAAAATAGTATAGATCGAGCAGATCTATGAAAGCTTTAAAATCTTGAAAATTGACGGTCCAAAAATGCATTACAAGATGCGCTATTTCCAAAACTTGAAATCCATTTTTTTCTCATGTCCATGGGTCTTGAGGTTGAGATGATTTTTGGGCATCAAAACAACCTCTTTTAATTGAATGTTTGAGGTGCATCCAAATTTGATTGTTTAAAGCCTCCCACTAACACAAACTTTTTCCAAAAAAAAAAGAATGTAATAAATTAAAGAATGCAATAAATTAAAAATATATAAAATATGAAATGGCAGTGAGTTGAGCTTTTGTGAGTGGCAAGACCAGAAGTGAATAAAATTCAAAATGAATAAATATGAAAGAATTTAGGTGTAGCTCTGGTAGGCGATAAGAAAAGAGAAAGCAACTTATGTGTAGTGCAGACCAGTACAACATCTACTGTGAGATGTATTTATTCAATTGGAAAATGCAAGGGTTAGACTCAAAAGTACATGGCTGGAAGTAGTGAGAAAATATATAAGAACTTATATGGAGGTATGTCCCTTATAGAGCAAAATAACATTGAGGGATTGATGCAGCCAATGATGAGTAAATTAATCTCATGCCCATAAAAAAATAGAAAATTAAAAATAATGAAATTTCAAATACAAAATGAAAAGCGACACATAGCCAAATCTCGAACTCGATCCCCCGATCATATGCCTCCCGTCCATGTCCAACTTCATCAGTAA